GTTCCAGCCTAACTACAAAAAAAAAAAAAAAAAATCCCTGGGAAATGTAGTCATCCTATTTATTCAGCAAGGGGAAGCAAACATGATAAGCATTTAACTAATTGCCACAATATCCAGCTTTCATTTATTTGCTGTTTGCCAGGAATAATTTTTACATCCTTTCATACATATCTTTTCTGAATCTGATTCCCTATATTTTAGGTACTTCTCCTCAAATATTGTATAATTCAATTTCATTTTAAAAATCTGATCTGACAATCTTAGTCATTTAACTGGACAGTTTAATTCACTTGCATTTAATGGGATTATTTGTAATATTTTTCTTTCTGTTTTCCTGAGTATTCTCATAAATTTATTTGTTTAATTTTTCTTGTTTTCTTAAATGTTCATTAACTTTTATTTATTTACTTACTTATTTTTTTTGCTGCCTTGTCAATTTAAAAGCTATACATTTTATTCTAAGAAGTGCTGGTGGTGCAAACTATTAAGCCCTCAGCTGCTAACCAAAGTTTGGAGGTTTGAACCCATCCAGTGGCTCTGCAGTAGTAGAAAGACATGATGAAAATGTGGAAGAAAACTCAAAATCTTAAAAAAAAAAAAAAGACCAGGCTTACTGGTCTGATGAAGACTGGTAAAATCTCCAAAACTGCGGTTCTCAGATACCTTTCAAGCTAGGAACTGAACTTAACCCTAGTGACTCAACTAGCAGACAATTATTGACAGGCCTATAAGGGGAACAATAATATCAGGAGGATATGCATTTATGAGAGCAATCAAGCATATGAGATCAAGAGGATGGCATTTCCCCAGGAAACAGCTAGGAAGATGAGAAGGGATGGGAAAGAAGGAAGAAGGGAAGGGGGGTGTGGAGGGAGAAAGTGGGAAGAATGCTGTTACAGTATGGAGATTGCAATAAATGCCACAAAACCGAACGTGTGTGGATTATTGAATGGAAAACCAATTTGCTCTGTAAACTTTCACTCAAATCACATTTAAAAAAAAAAAAAAAGATTATAGCCTAAAAGCACTCTGGGGCAGTTCCTCTCTGTTGCACAGGGTTTCTATGAACATAAATGGACTCAATATCACTCAACAACATTCCATTTTTGTTTTTAGAAATATTTTTAACCTCTAATGGAATGATTTAGTTAAATACCCTAATAAAAAAGAGCTGTGCTGAATGTATTATTGTCTAGTGTTTAATTGATTCTCTTATTTTAAAACTCACGAATTGGAGATAATTTTTTATTACTTTTTTTCCCCATAAAATGAATGCTTACTCAAAGTTACATACGTACTATCAATTCAGTTTTGCTTAATGTTCTATCTTGCATCTTATTGTTTCCTTCTGGGATGAATTTCCTTCTTATTTAAGTACCTTTACAAAAGGTTAGTTCTCTGTTAATTATATACTCTCAGTTTTTGTTTGAATATATCTTGTATTTCACTCTCCTGTTGAATTATAGTTTACTTGTCACAAATAATGATTAAAGTATATAGGCATAGATGAACAAAATAATGGTTAATACAGAAAAGTCTAGGTAATATTCGAAATGTTACTTTCATTAAAGAAATGTTTTTAAATGCTTACTATTTTAGATCACTAGATAATTAAGATGATGACAGTGCTTTCTGTAATTGCTGTTGAATTTTGGCCTGGTTGGTTAAGTGTGTTCTACTTAGAATGCAGAGCAGAGAGTTAGAATAATACATGCATTTTTCTTTTCTTAATGCTGAGTAAACAAATTTATTAAAAGACAAATAAGCTTCACCCATTGTGAAATATTTTTGATCTTGCTATCAAATTCTTCCTAAAATTGTTCTATTAATTTCCATTTACATATCTTTGAGACATAAAATTGACATGCAGTCTAGAAATCAGGGCTTAAATGACCTTTTACATATAGCCCTGATTATTTTACTCTCATTTACTGATTAGTTTTTCTAACTATTTATACATTGTAAGATAGTGTATTTTTCTTTTGACTTTCAAACTGTATTTTCCTCATTTATAGTGCTTTCTTTTTTAAGATATTCAGTGAATAGGCTAGCATCCAAGGAACCTGACAGACCTAATTTATCAATGTCAGAAGAATTATCCCTCTCCGAAGATGATCAAACATGTCTAGCCTTGAAGAGAAAAAAAAATTGAGTCAGAATATGTGAAGCTCAAACAATCTAAATTTCATAGGAAATTATTTTTTGCTCAATTCAGAAACATTTTTAATGAGGCTATCCATCTTTCAGACAAATGTTAAGTCAAAAAGATTTATTATTTCATTGAGAACTTTAGTATTATAGAATATAAATTGATCTTGAGCATATCAGCACCCCATTAAAGTCAGAGAGATTCTCCAAGTTGATCTCTAAGTCTCTGAAAAATGAAAGAATTAAGAAAATTACTGAAACTCAAGGCCAAAGGAAAGATAAATGGTCTTATCATTTTTTTTTTTTTTTTGCCTACCAGCTATTTTATAGCATAAGTTAATATAAACATATATTTAAAGTGACCTATATACTTCAATAGAGGTTGAGGTCATCAGTATATTGATGACCAAAATTATGACTCAGAAGAAATTTAATTTCCTTTGAACATTCTCTGTTTAGAAAGGCTGGAACACGTTAACATATTTATTGAAAAATTGTTATAAACTAATGAAATGTATCACCATTTTTAAGGGTTAAACCTAACTTATCTATTAAGTTATGTGTAATTGCTCATATTTGATGCCCCATCGTAATTGAAGTGTTACTTTATAAGCATTTTGTTTCTTCTCAATTTGTATTTGATCAGTGTTGTTGTTGTTGTTGTTATGTGCCGTCAAGTCGGACCTGACTCATAGCGACCACTCCTTGGGTTGCCGAGGCAGTATCACTACGGAAGTAGATTGCTCAACCTTCCTTCGGAGGAGTGGCTGGTGGGTTTGAACTGCCAGCCTTCTGGTTTACAGTGAATACATTTTAATTTTAAATTTTCCTACTTCCATAATATTTTTTTAGTCATAAAGAAAAAAAATTGTAAAAATTATCTTCACATGTAAAAATTGAAGGTCAAGCCAAACACAGAGAAGTATACACTGTATGATTCCAATTATATAAAATGCAAACTAACTAATGCTCTTAGAATGTGGGATACTTGTGTAGGGGAAGAGATTATGATTGGAAGGAGGCACAAGGGTATTAGTCATGTTCTGTTTTATGATCTAGGTGCTGAATTTTGTATTTATTTAGTTTGTGAAAATTCACTGAGCTATACATTTATGAAAGAGCTCTGGTGGTGCAGTGGTTAAAACATTTGGCTGCTAACCAAAAGGTCAGTGGTTTGAACCCACCAGCCACTCTGCAGAAGAAAAACAATCTGCTTCCATAAAAACTGACAGACTTGGAAGCCATATAAGCAGTCTACTGTCTCCCATAAGGTTGCTATGAGTTGGAATTGACTCAATGGCAGTGGGTTTATATAATTTATGACATTTGCACTCTTCTATAAGTATGTTATACTTTAATTTAAAAAGTCTTAAAAATATGAAATCCAACATTAGAACCATCTAGCAGCCAGCTGGTCTGTAGACAAATATAGAAGTGCAATTCTGAATTAGTCTAGTCCTTAATGCTGTCTAAAGCAACAGCCCTAAGAGATTGTTTATGAAAGTTCACAGTTATCATCTGAAACAGTTAAGGTATACTTATAAATATTTCTTTTAATTTTGACTTTGCTGGGTTAATACCCTCCTCACCTCACTGCACATGAGTCTAATTAGACTCACAGTGACCCCTACTTGGGTTTCCGAGGTGGTATCTCTACAGAAATAGATTGCCCAATTTTCTTTCCAAGGAGTAGCTGGTGGGTTTGAACCACCAGCCTTTTAGTTAGCAGTCATATGCCTTAAACATAACACATCCAGTGCTCCCAGGGTTAACATAGTAACACTACATATTATTTTTTATCAGTCTTGTAATGCACAAATGGAAGAAAAGAAAATGTTATGAAACCTCAACACAAGTCAGATGGAAAAATTGGCTTTGCTCAGAATTCTGTATGAGAGAACAGTGTTCTTAGTATTAAAATAGAATTTTAATAAATGATTATAAAATGATTATAACTGATTATTAAATCTGAGCATAATTACACACAAATAACTCAATTAATGGGAGTACTCATGGTCAAACTAAATCCTAGAATCCTTTCCTCATTCTTTGTCCTAGAAAATCAACAAATTTTAAGGTACAGTTATCTTACAAAGTGTCTCTACCAGAGAAGTTCCATTAGTAATAGAAGCCTTTTCTGTTTGCCTCTTCTCAGAGAGAAAAGAAGAATATTGCTGTGCAACGAGTTAGGGGAGCTACTGCAGAGGCCTCTGTGGCTACTGATATCCCCCCACCATCCCTGTCATCAGTTCTGAAGAATAACCCACTATACGGTGACATAAGTTTGGAAGAAGCTATGGAAGATAGAAAAAAGAATCCTTCATGGACCATTGAGGACTATGACAGGCGTTCCATGCACACCAACCTCTCAGGCTACCTGAAGGTGCTCAATGCTAAGAATCTTCTCTTTGAATTGATGAGGCAGATCAGTTAACCCTGAAAGAAAAAGTCATTAAAGTGGTTGTTGTTGTTGTTAGGTGCCATTGAGTCTATTCCAATGCATCATGACCTGATGTACAACAGAACAAAACACTGCCTTGTTCTGAACCATCCTGACAATCCTTGCTATAGTTGAATACATTGTTGCAGCCACTGTGCCAATCCATCTAGTTGAGAGTCTTCCCCTTTTTCTCTGACTCTCCACTATACCAAGTCCTCAAGGGAATGTTCCCTTCTGACAACATGACCAAAGTAGGTGAGACAAAATCTGGCCATTCACACTTCTAGTGAGCATAACGACTGCACTTCTTTCAGGACAGATTTGTTAGCTCTTCTTGTAGTCTATGGTACTTTCAGTATTCTTTGCCAACACCACAACTCAAAGGCATCAACTCTTCTTCAGTCTTCCTTATTCATTGTCCAGCTTTCACATGGAGATGAGACAACTGAAAATACCATGGCTTGTGTTAGGTGCACCTTAATCTTTAAAGTGACATCTTTGCTCTTCAACACAAAGGCAAAAAGAAATCTTCTGCAACAGATTTGCCTAATGCATTATACATCTGATTTCTTGACTGCTGCTTCCATGAGTCTTGATTTTGGGTCCAGGTAAAATGAAATCTTTGATAACTTCAATCTTTTCTTCATCTATCATGATGTTGTTTACTGATCCAGTTGTGAGGATTTTTACTTTCTTTATATCGAGGTATAATCCTTACTGAAGACTGTAGTCTTTGAACTTCATCAGCAAATGCTTCAAGTCCTCTTCACTTTCAGCAAGCAAGGTTTTGTCTTCTGTATATCACAGATTGTTAGTGAGTCTTCCTCCAATCCTGATGCTGCATTCCTCTTATTATAGTCCAACTTCTCTGGTTATTTGCTCAACATACAGATGGAATAAGTATGGTGAAAGGAGACAACCCTGATGCACACCCTTCCTGATTTTAAACCATTCAGTACTCCCTTGTTCTGTTCATTTGCCTAGGTTCCTCATGAGCACAATTAAGCATTCTGGAATTTCCTTTCTTGAATTTCCACACAGTCTAATGCTTTTGCCTAGTCAATAAAAGACAAGTAAACATCTTTCTGGTATTCTTTGCTCTCAGCCAATATCTATCTGACATAAGCAATGATTTCTGTCATTCCACATCATCTTCTGAATCCAGCTGGCATTTCTAGAAGTTCTCTCAATATACTGCTGCAACCATTTTTGAATCATCTGCAGCAAAATTTTACTTGTACGTGATATTAATGATATTGTTTAATAATTTTCACACTGTGCTAGTTCATCTTTGTTTAGAATGGGTACAATATGGATCTCTTCCAGTCTCTTGTCCAGGTAGCTGTCCTCCAAATTTCCTATTATAAATGAGGAAGAGCCACCAGAGTTGCATCATTTCTTGAAACATCTCAAAGGGTGTTCCATCAATTCCTGGAGTCTTGTTCTTTTTCCAATTCCTTCAGTGCAGCTTGGACTTCTTCCTTCAATGCCATTGGTTCTTGATCACCTGCTACTTCCTGAAGTGGTTGGATGTCAACCAATTTGTTGTTGTTGTTGTTGTTACAGTAACTCTGTGTATTCCTTCCATCTTCTTTTGATGCTTCTTCTACCATTCAATATTTTGCTCATACAGTCCTTCAATATTGCAACTTGAGGCTTGAAATTTTCCTTCAGTTCTTTCACCTTGAGAAATGTCAAGCATGTTCTTCCCTTTTGATTTTCTAACTCTAGCTATTTGCACATTCCATTATAATACTTTGTCTTCTTGAGCCACCCTTTGAAATCTGTTCAGCTTTTTTATTTTGACATTTCTTCCTTTAGCTTTACCTAATGGCCATTCAGTGCAAGTTTCAGAGTCTCTTCTGACATCCATTTTGGTCTTTTCTTCCTTTCCTATCTTTTTAGCCTTTTGCTTTCTTCATGTATGATGTTCTTTATGTCATCCCAAAACTCACCTGGTATTTGGTCACTGGTGTTCAATGCATCAAATCTGTTATTCAGATGGTCTCTAAATTCAGGTGAGATATACTCAAGGTCATACTTTGGCTCTTGTGGACTTGCTTTAATTTTCTTCTGCTTCAATCTTGAGCTTGCATGTGAACAATTGATGTTTTGTTCCACGGTCAGCTTCTGGCCTTCTTTTGACTGAAAATACTGAGTTTCTCTATTGCCTTTATTCACAGATGTAGTCGATTTGATTTCTGTGTATTCCATCTGGTGAGGTCCACATATAAAGTCACTGTTTATGTTGTTGAAAAATGTTTGCAATGAATAAGTTGTTAGTCTTGCAAAATTCTATCATGCAATCTCTGATGTCATTTCTATTATGAAGATCATATTTTCCAAATGTTGATACTTCTTTTTTTCCAACTTTCACATTCCAGTCACCAGCAATGATTAATACTTCTTGATTGCAAGTTTGGTCAATTTCAGACTGCAGAAGTTGGTAAAAATCTTCAATTTCTTCATCTTTTGCTATGGTGGTTGGTGCATAAATTTGAATAATAGTTGTATTAACTAGTCTTTCTTGTAGGCATATGGATATTCTCCTATCACTGACAGCGTTTTACTTAAGCATAGATCTTGAAATGTTCTTTTTGACAATGAATGCTCTGCCATCCTTCTTTAATGTCATTCTCAGCATAGTATGGCACTCATCTGTCAGTTTGCATGTTGTTGTGAACTAGAAGCTATGCCGCCACCCCCAGTATTTCAAATACCAGCAAGGTCACCCATGATGGACAGGTTTCAGTGGGGATTTCAGACTAAGATAGAGAAGAAGGACAGGATTATCCACTTCTGAAAAAATTGCCCATTGAAACTTTATGAATAGCAGTGAAACACTGTCTGATATGTTATGAAGAGCCACGAAACATTGTCGGATACAGTGATGGAAGATGAGCCCCTAAGGTCAGAAAGCACTCAAAATATACAGGGGAAGAGCTGCCTCCTCAAAACAGAGTCAACCATAGTGAGGTGGGTGGAGTAAAGCCTTTGGGACCTTCATTCACTGATGCACCATGACTCAAAATGGGAGGAAACAGTTGCAAACGTTATTAATGATCAGAAGTGGAATGTACAAAGTATGAATCTAGGAAAAGTGTAAGTTGTCAAAAATGAAATTGAACACATAGTTCTTTGTATAAACCAGGCACTTCTCACACAAAATCTCTGGATTTCATGTCATTTTGGTTTTTAGCTTTCTTTTTTTTCCTCCTAATCAGTACTTTTGTGTATTTATTTGTTTTGAGTTTTACTGTTTCAGCATCTACTAGTATCTAGTATGGTATAGAGGGGAAGAAATGGTGTGGCACAGAAGAAAGATTTTCAAGAAGGGTAAAAGTTTTATAAAAAAATAATTTGTAAGACTTCTTATTTTCTCCAAATTTTGTGAATTTATGTACATAAATATTTACATACATGTATGATTAAGAGCTGATTCTTTATTCAACAATTATTGGAAAATATTTATTGAACATTCTGTCTTAGACACTGTATAAGGCAGCTCTCATCAAAAATTTTATTTCAAGCCCACTCAGTGATTTAAGATTGCACATTTACATTTTGGCCATTTTCCTGTGTCTCAGTAACAAAGCAAAACAAAAACATTTCAGCATAGGAAAAGTATGCAATGAACTCATTCCCCCAGCTTAAACCCAACTTAAGTTCTTCTTTCTCTCCCCCATCCCACCCCATGGTGCTTATCCACCACATAGAAGATCTAGAAATACCTGAAAAGCAGAGAAGGAGGCCTTTGTTTTTCTGACTAGACTGGATTCCTATCCAGCCTTGGCTTGCCTCTGCCTGCACCAGGGCCAGGAATGCTTGATATTATCCAACTCCCCTTCCTTTAAAAATGTATACCTGTTCTAAACCCCATGCTTAAGCACTCAGGATTTTCAAGGACGATGTTTTGTGTGTGTGTGTGTGTGTGTGTGTGTATGGAAGGGACAGCAGCATGCTCCCTTAAAATCCTACGTGTATTTCTTAGGACCTCAAATATGCATTCCTTGAAATATTTCATTACCCAGAATCCTTGAACTTTCTTAATATCTTAGTAGCTTGAATGTACCTCCTCAATGTAGTCTGTCTTCTAGAGAAGTTTTCAAAACAAATGGTCCTCCCATAGAAACAATAATCTTGTGATTTTTAGCAGGGTTCTTAGGATCACAACCTCTAATAAGTCATTTTCTGCTATTACCAAAAAAAAAGTATCAATTTACTATGCAAATATTTTTTGACTATATCCTATCCTTCTTTTCTTCCCTTTGCTATTTACATGCATGAAAATAGGACTAGAGAGATGAATATTACTGTCACTGCTCTCAATAACTTCATCCAACTGAGAAAATAAATGACTATAGCACAAGATAAGGAGCTCTGGTGGTGTATTGATTAAGGCATTTGGCTGCTAACCAAAAGGTCAGTGGTCCGAACCCATCAGCTGTTCCATGCAAGAAAGATGAAGCAGTCTGCTTCCATAAATATATGAACCCTTGGAAATCCATCAGGCATCTCTAGGAGTCAAAATTGACTTGATGGTAGTGAGTTGTTTGTTTGTTTGTTTTTAATCACACAAGATAGAGAAAAGTGACTATAATAGTATAAAGTGCTATAAAGATTCAGAAGCGGACAAGGTCACATCTGATTAGGAAAACACTTCATGAAAAAGTTAATTATGCCGGGTTTGAAGGATGTGTCAAACTGCAAAGACACAGATGGTTTGTGTTGAGTGGACAGGCTCTTCCGTCAGAAGGAGCAGCAAGAGCAGAGGCACAAATACAGGAAAGTCAAAGTAACAGGTGGTCCAATTTTGCTACAGGTATGGCTTAAAGAATATAATAATGGGAAAATAAGATTAAAAATAAAAATAACAGGTAAATGAAAACATTCAAATTTTAGACTATGAAAATTAAACATCACTGGTAATGAGAAATAATTTTTTAAGTTGGCCAAGGACAGGAATTAGGTTCAGGAAGTTTGAAAAATTACCAATATGGTGGACACATTGTTTTACAAAAACCAGGATCCACCTCCACCATTCTCAGTTCTCTACATGCCCACCCACCCCGCTCAAAGCAGTGGGCCCTCAGGTCTGAGGCCAGTTCATGAGACCTCATGTTGCCATTCTATAGTGCTGACTTATTTGAGGGAAGCTTCCAGAAGCCATTCCTTTGGGTTTTCATTAGATTTTCTTCCCCTACCTCATTCATTCAATTTCTTTCACTAATATCCTTTTCCACATCTCATAATCAGCAGACAGAACCCCTCACTTATTTTCTGAACCTTGCCATCATGTATGGGCTGTAAAGCTTCCAGGTGTCTCTGGTCACTGCCATCTTTCAAATGCTTAGATGGACAACTTAATTTTACGGAAATTTCCTCCCCATTATCCAACATTAAAATTCTAAGTTACTACGAGTTTATAAAGTGGAGAAGAAAAAAGGCCTATATTTACTTGCCAAGAAAAGCTAGAAACAGAATAATGAGAATATAATCTCCATTTTTGGTTTGGGAAGGAAGCTTTTACAGAACAGGTATAATCATGGAAAAAGACAGGTCTCCGACTGGAACACAGACAAAACAGGGGATAAGAATGAGGCAAAGGAGGATTTTAAAATCATCTATGCTTCATTAGAGGAGATCCAAATTTTATTTTATTATTTTAACTTCTCTGTGACTAGGACAATCAAACCAATACAGAAGTAGTGGAAGAATTCTATTACCATCATCCAAATCTACCCCATCTCCTTATGTAAATGCACATTCCTACCTTAGCACCAAAGTTGTAAATCTTTGCCGAAGAAGATTGCCACATCTTTCTCCCATGGAGAGGCTGGTAGCTTCTTAACTGCCTAACTTTTCATTAGCAGCCAGAGCTTTAACCTCTGTGCCACCAGGGCTCTTTCTTCTCCTAGTAGTGCACCCATAGGTATGAAAATAGTTCATTGGCTCCTGATGGTCAGCCATGGGAACTGTCTAGACCATACTTCAAGCCTAACTATAAGTCAATTGAGACAATATCTCAGAGAGAGGCAGACAGAGGGTGAGAAGTCTGGCCGCAAGCCATTGCAATAATCCTGGTGAGAAAGAACGAAGCCTGACTTGGGTTTCTGAAAGCAGAGAAATTCAAGATGCAACAAGAATTTGTTGTGTGCCTATTAGATGCCCAACATAGACATTGAGTTTTTAAAAAAGGAATTAAAAAAATGTAAATAAATAAATATGGACAGTAGAGTTTGCAGGTGATTATGGACACAAGAGATCAGGTTGAGTTGAAGACAATTCTGTGGGACTGAAACGATGATGAGGCTGGTGAAAGAAACAGAGACATAGAGCAGAAGCTGGTGTGGGGAAGGGGAGCCAAATAGTGTCAAGCTTTCTGGGCACTGACCCTTAATAACTGCAGTCTTCATTAGGTAAGACTAGCAGGTTGGGGATCCCAGAAGGGGCTCTTGACTTTTAGTCTCACTCTTTCTTCCATGGACCTAAGCTCCCAGATTTATTAAAAAACTTGACACACTTCCTTACTATGCAGACAAAATTAAGCTGCTAAGGTTTACCTAAAGCAAAGAATTTTCACTTCACATCAATTCACTTACCTGATTTTAATGCACTGTTTTGTGAGAGACACTAACTTGGCTAAAACATTACTGAAACACGACTGTGTTTCTGATTCTCCAGCATAAGCAATTTAACAAATCATGCAAATCTTTAATGACTTCTCATGAAGACTTTCAGATTGAAGCTTCAGAGAATACTGGTCAGCCTGAGGCTTTGGCTGGATGTTTACGCTATTTAGAGAAGTCTTTTTTGTTGTTGTTTTTTAGACTCTTATTTGAGCCACAACACTAAACCTTATGCCAGTTAAAAATAAAAAAAAAGAAAAAAACAGCAACATAAAACACTTGTTGTGGAGTCAACTCTGACTCATGGCAGCACCATGTGTGTAAGGTAGGACTGTGCCCCAGAGGGTTTCCAAGGGCTGATTTTCAGAGATAGATCATCAGGCCTTTCTTTCAAGGCACCTCTGGGTGGACTTCAATCACTAACCTTTCAGTTATCAACCATGTGTGTTAACTGTTTACACCACTCAGGGGTCCTAAATCCTCCCTAGAAAAGTGTAAATATGTCAGTACCACTGACAGTGTATTGTTCTGCAATCTTAATTAATCTGATTGATTGATTGTCTTCTCTATATAATCCTCTTTTAGGAAAACCCTAATGACCTTCGATTTTGGTTGGGAGACATGTACACACCAGGGTTTGACACCTTATTGAAAAAGGAAGAGAAACAAGAGAAGCAATTGAAATACTGCCGTATAGGTCTGCTTTTGCTCCTTGCTGCCTGCATTTTGGTTTCCATAGTGACGATCAGTGCTTCTTTCACTTAAGGAAATGGCCACAGCTACCTTAAATTTCTTAAAATATCTCTAAATAAAAGTTTTCAGAAAAATCTGTTCATGCAGTATATGTACATTGTACTGTTGATTACATAAATAATTCTAATTGTCACATACGGTGCTAAAGTTTCCTAACATATGTTGGCTTTCTCTATTTTGTTCTATGAAAAGTTTGTAAGAATTCTAGCCCCAGCTTTGACTTTTGGGAAGCAGGAATTCCAGGGAACATAACCACAGAAAAGTAGCTATAAACCACCAAAGAGAAACATTTGATAAGAACAAAACGGCATCAACAATTGTCAGTAGCTTTGCTTTAAGGTTCAAACAATATCCACCTTGTTTTTAAAACACTATTATCTTTCCTCTCCTCTGTAGTCTCGAGGAAAGTTGAGCAGATCACTTTTTGGCCAACTGTCAGGTTTACAGGATAAAACCTTTTGGTCATGTTGCCTATTGGGTTGCACTCATTCCCTGGCCTATCTTTCGGTATCTCTGTTAAGCCAGAAAAGGATGAAAGGGAAAAGAAAACTCTAGTTAAACCTATTCTTATTTTACCCGTAATCCTTTATAATGCTTCAATGTCACGTTACAATTTCAGTGGAACTAAATTTGGACAGGCCACAGTTATATAATTAATTACATTCAGACATAATTTTGCTTACTAATACATCCAAGGGAGCCAAATTGGTTAGTGTGACCCCTAGTGGCAGTCACTAAGCACACATTGACAGCCATGTCCTAGGAGAAAGGCCCTAAATAAGCAGAGGGAATACTGCAAAGAGTGCGCAATTTGAATCCTAACTGGGCCATTTGGTAACTATTGGACCCCGGGCAAGTTATTTCTAAAGCAAGATTAATATACCAATGTTGCTGTTCTTGGGAGTTGTCAGCAAGTCAGTTGCAACTTACAGTGACCCTATATATAATAGAACAAAACACTGCCCAGTCCTGTGCCATTCTGAAAATTGTTGCTATGTTTGAGCCCATTGTTCTAGCCACTGTGTCAATGCATCTCATTGAGGGTCTTCCACTTTTAAGCTGAACCTCTGATTTACCAAGCATGATATTCTTCTCCAGGAACTTGTCCCTCCTGATAACATGTCTGAAGTATGTAAGATGAAGTCTTGCCATCCTCACTTCTCAGGAGCACTCTGGCTGTACTTTGTCCAAGACTTGTCTTCTGTCAGTCCATGGCATATGCAATATTCTTCACCAACACCATAATTCAAAGGCATAGCCTTTTCTTTGGTCTTCCTTATTCCTTGCCCAGCTTTCACATGCACATGAGGTGATTGAAATTACCATGGTGTGAGCCTCACCTTAGTCCTCAAAACGACATCTTTGCTGTGTAACACTTTAAAGACGTCTTTTGCAGCAGATTTGCCCAGTGTAATATGCTGTTTGATTTCCTGAGTACTTCTTCCATAAACGTTGGTTGTGGATCCAAGTAAGATGAAATTCTTGACAATTTCAATACTTTTTCTATTTATCATGATGTTCTTTCTTGATTCAGTTGTAAGGATTTTTGTTTGCTTTATGTTGAGATGTAATCCATACCGAAGGCTGTAGTCTTTGGTTGTTGTTGTTGTTGTTATTTGTCTTTGGTATTCATCCATAAATGTTTCAAGTCCTCTTGCTTCAGCAAGCAAGGTTGTGCCAGCTGCATATCACAGGTTGTCAATGAGTCTTCCTCTGATCCTGATGCCACATTCTGCTTCATACAGTCCAGCTTCTCAGATTTGTTTCTGAGCATACAGACTGAATAGGTATGGTGAAAGGGTACAACCCTGATACACACTTTTCCTGATTTTAAACCATTCAGTAAGTCCTGTGTGAATGACTATTGCTTAGTCTATGTACACATTTTCCATGAGTACAATTACCTATTCTGGAATTCCACTTATTCAATGTTATCCACAATTTGTTATGATCCACACAATTGAATGCCTTTGCATAATCAATAAAACATGGGTAAATATCTTTCTGGTGTTCTCTGTTTTCAGCCAAGATCCATCTGACATTAGCAATGATATCCATCATTCCACATCCTTTTCTGAATCCAGCTTGAATTTCTGGGAGTTCCCTGTCCATATAATGCTGCAAGCATTTTTGAGCAATCTTCACCAAAATTTTGCTTGTGTGTGATATTAATGACATTATTTGATAATTTCCACATTCTGTTTGATCACCTTTCTTTGGAATGGGCATAAATATGAATCTCTTCTTGTTAAATGGCCAGGTAACTATCTTCTAAATTTCTTGCCGTAGACAAGTGATCACTTCCAATGGTTCATGGGTTTATTGAAATACCTCAATTGATAATCAAACAATTCCAATCTCAGTATGGCTGGCCTAAGAAATAAGTAAGGAGCCCTAGTGATGTAGTGGTTAAGTGTTCATCTGCTATCCAAAAGGTCAGTGGTTTGATCTCTCTAGCTGCTCTGTAGGAGAAAGATGTGGCATTGTACGTCTATAAAAATCAAAGCCTTAGAATTCCTATGGAGCAGCTCTAGTCTGTCCTCTAGGGTTGCCATGAGTCAGATTCAACTGAATGACAATGGTTTTTAAGGACTAAGTAAGACACTTAGACAATAACAATGCCTGGTTCCTTTTAAGTAGTTGCTTGTTTTGGTGGGGTTAGGTGCTGTTGAGTCAGTTCTCTGGCCTAGTGACCTTATGTACAACAGAATGAAACACTGCCTGCCATCCTCATGATCCTTGGTATGCTTGAGTCTGTTGTTGCAGCCACTGTGTCATTCCATCTCCTTGAGGGTCTTCCTCTTTGTCAAGTGACCATCTACTTCTAGTGGGTAATACCTAAGGCATTTGACTGCTAACCAGAAGGTTGGTGGTTCAAACCCATCAGCCACTCCACAGAAAGAAGGCTGGGCAATCTACTTCTGTAAAGATTTACTTCCTCAGAAACCTAATAGGGGTTGCTATGAGTAGGAATCAACTCAGTGGAAGTGAGTTTTGTTTTTTTTTTTAAATCTACTTTTCCCAGTATGATATCCTTCTCCAGGGCCTATTCCTCCTGACAACATGACCAAAGAACAAGAGGCAAAGTGTTGTCAATCTTGTTTGAACGAACATTCTGGCTTTATTTCATCCAAGACACATTTGTTTGTTCTTTTGGCAGTCCATGTAAGTTCAATATTCTTTGCCAACACCACAATTCAAAAGCATCAATTCTTCCTTGGTCTTCTTTAGTCATTGGTCAACTCTCGCATACATATAAGGCAATTTAAAATGCCATGGATTGGGGCAGATGCATCTTAGTTTTCAAAGTGATGTCTTCGCTCTTTAACACTTAAAAGAAGCCTTTGTAGTAGATTTGCCTAATGCAATACATCATTGGATTTCTTGATTAGACCTGCCATGTGCATTGATTGTGGATCCTAGTAAAATGAAATCTTTCACAACTTCAGTCTTTTCTCCATTTATCATGATGCTGGTTATTAGTCCAGTTTTGAGGACTTTTGTTTTCTTTATGTTAAGGTATAATCCATACTGAAGGCTGTAGTCTTTGATCTTCATCAGTGTTTCAAGGCCTCTTTTTAGCAACCTAGGTTGTATAGTACCTGCGTAGCAAGTAGTTGCTTAGCTAATGGCAATGTTATTATTAATTTTTGTTAGCTAGTAAAAATTTGCTAAAGTTAATTCAAATATGGTTGCAACAATATGTTGACAGGGAACTTCCGGAAATTCAAGCTGGATTCAGAAGAGGGTGTGGAATGCTGTTGTCAAATGGATCTTGGCTAAAAGCAAAGAATAAAAGATGTATTTTACTGAGCATACAAAGACATTCAATAGTGTGGACCATAACAAATTATGCATAACATTGCAAAGAATGGGAATTTCAGAGCACTTAATTGTGCTCATGAGGAACTTGTACAAGAGTTCCTGTACAGCCAAAAGGCTGTTGTTTGAAGACAATAAGAAGATACTGTTGTTGTTGTCGTTCTTAGGTGCTGTCGAGCTGGCTCTGATTCATAGAGACCCATGTGCAACAGAATGAAACACTGGCTGGGAATGCATCACCCTCACAATCCTTGCTATACTTGAGCCCATTGTTGCAGCCACTGTGCCTTTCCTTCTTGTTGAGGGCCTTCCCCATTTTCCCTGACCCTCTACTTTACTGAGAATGATATTTTTCCACAGGGAATGGTCCCTTCTGAAAACATGATGAAAGAAGTAAGATGAAGTCAGGCCACTCTTGCTTCCAAAGAGCATTCTGGCTGCACTTCTTCTGGGATAGGTTTGTTCATTCTTCTGGCAGTCCTTGGTTTTTCCAGTATTCTTCAGTAACAGCATAATTCAAAGGTGTAAGCTCTTGCTTGCTCTTTCTCATTCATTGTCCAACTTTCAAATGCATATTAAGGTGATTGAAAATACCATGATTTGGGTTAGGCCCACCTTAGTCTTCAAAGTGACATCTTTACTCCTCAACCATTTACAGGTTTTTGTAACAGACTTACAAGTTGCAATAGAATGTCTGACTCATTACTGCGGCTTGCATGGGTGTTGATTTTGGATCCAAGTAAAATGAAACTTTTGGCAATTTCAATCTTCTCTCCATTTATTGTGACATTGCTTATTGATTCAGTTGTGAGGATTTGTGTTTTCTTTATGTTAAAATGTAACCCATATTGAAGGCTATAATCTTTGATCTTCATCAGCAAGTGCTTCATGTCATGTTCACTTTCAGTGAGGAAGATTATGTCATCTGCATATGGCAGATTGTTAATAAGTCTTCCTCCAAGTCTGATGCTGTGTTCTTTATATAGTCCAGCTTCTTAGATTATCTGTTTATCATACAGACTGAATAATAATGGTGAAAAAGCAGAACCCTTGACACACATTTCTCCTGATTTTAAACCATGTAGTATCTCTTTGTTCTGTTCAAAGAGCAACATTTTGGGCTATGTACAGATTCCTCATAAGCACTAATAGTTCTGGAATTCCCGTTATTATCAATGTTATCAATAATT